GGGAAATCTTATCACCGATTCAAAGGTAATCTGTGTGTGTGGGTGTGTGCGTTTGGACGAAATCCAACTGGAACGAAAGTGTTGGATCTCAGCTCAGACTGTTCGCATGGAAGCCGTTGTGCTGCCGAAGAGCCAGTATGCCCAAGTTTTGCTGCGTCAACTAATGAAGGACTGTACCTCCCTCGCTGGATGCATCAACTTCCACATCCTTTACTAACCACCGAAAAGGCTAAAGCAAAGCTACTGGCTTTGAGGAAGAGTTCATCGCCAGGTGCAGACAATATTCACTCCCAAACCGATATCTACTTGGCAAATGCGTTTGGACGAAATCCAACTGGAACGAAAGTGTTGGATCTCAGCTCAGACTGTTCGCATGGAAGCCGTTGTGCTGCCGAAGAGCCAGTATGCCCAAGTTTTGCTGCGTCAACTAATGAAGGACTGTACCTCCCTCGCTGGATGCATCAACTTCCACATCCTTTACTAACCACCGAAAAGGCTAAAGCAAAGCTACTGGCTTTGAGGAAGAGTTCATCGCCAGGTGCAGACAATATTCACTCCCAAACCGATATCTACTTGGCAAATAGAATAGCCGAGCCACTAGCCTTCCTATTCCAAAGGATGTTTGACCACACTGAAATCCCATGGTTGCGGAAACAGGGAGTAATTTCACCCAATTACAAAGGCGGTTGCCGTTGTGATCCCACTAACTACCGCCCATTAGAATTATCTCCTCCCCCCTCCCCACTGACTGAAAAGCTGCATATACATGGCTTATCGGATTTGTGTAATACAATACAATACAATACAATACAATACAGTGCGATTGCTCCATCGTTTTCCATCGTCTCGTCCCTCTCACCTTAAGCAAGTAAATTCCCTCTGACCCCTAAGGCGATCTGATTGGATCATATTCCGCGATCTGCGGCGCTTAAAATCGCCCAACACGAGACTGTCTGATTACCGGCTTGTAATTGTACGTTTTGTTATGCTCTTGTTCTTACGTCCAGTCCATCCGTGTGCTGATGACACTCCTGCTGCATAGTCGAAGTTCACTGGACTTGTCTAACAAGGCTGTAAACAAGGTGTGGTTTCTATCTCGGGTTAGCTGGGCAATCGCCAAGTCTTCGCCGCGGCTGAACCATCCGACCGATCGATAAATGAACCCGGTCGGTAGTGCGATTTTTAGACCGGCACAGGAGGAACACAGGTTCCGAATCCGATGCCGCCTAAGTGTTGGTACAGAATTGACGCAAAAGAATTAACTGTAGAGCGGTGCGCCATGTGGGAAATTCGGAATGGAAAAGGTTCAAGTGGTGATGACGCTGGGCCAACGCTTGACTCATCTAAGATACACGCACCATTTTCCGAAGCGGGTTCGATAAACAGCGCGAAATTAAAAAAGCCGTGACCGACTATTATAGTTAAACATCTAACTGGACTATATCAATTTTTTAAGACTATCGGGGACCTGGAACCATAGACCGCTTGTGGTTCAACAAATACTAATAGCTTCATGTAGTCAATCAATCAATCAATCAATCAGTCCCCCAGTCAGTCACGAATGCTTGTCTTCTCGTATCCTCAATATGGCAACCTTCGGCCACTGGCACAATGTCCCGATAGCACAAACAAACAGTTATGTGACAGAGAGAGAGAGATTGACCAATCCGAAATGGGTTGACGAGACCACAGGGATTGTGCACACGTGTTCGAGAGAAAGAGGGATGATTAGAAACAGATACCAGCCGGTTTGTCTGTCTTTAAACACACACACATTGTACGATCAGCTGGGTAAAACCATATCAGCTCTGTCCCACCCCTGCTCCTCCAACGTACCTCCAATGTATTTCGGCTGATTCATGTCGTACATCCACGTGAGTCATACAGATTTAGTCTGTGTGGAACGATCAAATCATACGGCTACATTAGCTTGCTTGCTTGGTAGGTCACCGCGGGGTGAAAGAGGATGACACGTGTGCTGAGTAAGCGAACCAGAGGACCGGGTTGAATGGACACAGACGAGTGAAACACGAACCGAATGAATGGAAGTACATGTGCACATACGGTCAAGCTGGTGGCAGTGGTATGAAAACCGGTCAGATTTCGAGTGTAAATGCATGAAACACAGAACAAAAGACATCAGACACGCGTTTCTGAATATAAAGCAACAAACCGAAAAAAGTAAAAGGGATCCAGAGATTCGGTAAGGATTGAAAAAAAAACACTAACGCGGTGTAAACTAACGGAAAAACGATGCCTGCAGGCTGTATCAAATCAATACTAGAAAAGCATCAAAACTGTTACGAGGAACTGTTGGATATTTATCTACCCTTCATTGCGCAATCGAACGGATAGCCGAAAGACAGTAACAAAAAGCGCGGCGCAACAGTGCGAGGTTGTGAAAAAAACGGAAAGGTCTTCGTGACTGTGTAGTGTGCAGTGATATCCGATGGGTTTCGTAAACAGGAGGCATCTGGGATTATTTGGGATTGAGAAGAACTAGACATATGGGAAAGATGGTTTTCCAAATGGGTACCTAAGACTTTAGGGCACGGCATACTTCGCGGTAGCCCACAAACGAAGGGGTTTTTCTTTGGGAACCCTAACCGGAGCCTTTGACTCAAAAGTCTGACCCATAAGGCAGTGAGTGGGGCGTAGAACCAACGCGGGAGCGTGAACGAAGCACCTGTGTGGGAGCTTCTACAGACCTGTCACACAAGGTTTCGGTTAAGTGTGTTATTCGCTGGTGCGTTGGTTGTCGGTCCGCTTTTCAGGATCGACCCTTGGCCTCATGCACCTAGTGAGACAAGCGCACAACCGAACAACCCTGTCGACGACACTGGAATCGGCCAGCGGTAGCAGCAGCAGCGAAACAGCACCAATTTTGTTGGTTGGTTGGTTAGTTACGTCATCTCACAACTGAAGACCAAACCAACCGATGCTTTGATTACGATTTATATGTTATCAGTTTCAGCGAGCACTGAACGGATGACCAGAGAGCTAGATATGTGCTCGGAAATCCAGACGGGTAAAAATGCATTATTTGAGTGTAACTTTTTATTTGACTCACCTAAGGCGGCATGACTAAAGATGGTGCGTCGAGGCTGAAGAACTGAGGATTGTGACTAAAGCATTGCGGGTTTCGGCTAAAGATTGATAGGAAAAAGTGTAATGTCAGTCCTGCCGGTATGGCCCTTGTGTCCGATTCATGCACGAGGCTATGGTAGCAACATGATGTAGTAAAGGGGCATATTATGTTCGCGGATCAATTTCTACTCACACTATAATCGATTGTTCGTGGCACACATGGTCAGAAGTGGTAGAAAGTACTGAGCAGAGTGATCGCTGACATCTCACGGATCGGTGATCGCGGAGGTACATCCCATTGAAAAGTGGCATATTGTTAATGTGGAATTGCACTGATTTCCAAGTCACAAGTTAACTCATTTATTCATGAAAAAATTGCACTTCGCACATGCACCCCGTTGTTTTGTTTTGTTTGGGTCAATGAAATCCCCCCGAGGATAATTCCCTGTTTCGATCTGGGTAACCTGATCGTATTGCGCCTCAGATTGAAACACGGACTCCGTAGTGTGTCCATCAAATACGATTCAACCGAGATTAGTTTGACACAGCCTGAATTCACACGAGTATGACATATACTATTAATCACCCATTTGGCCTACGTCTCTATTCTATCTTCATCGATACGGAACACTTCTCCGGGGGTGGGGTTTTGTTCGATTTAAAAAAATTTAATAAAATCGAATAATTTCTAATTCATTAATGAGTTGCGGATTCCTCAAGAAAATTCATCTGCCTTGGCCTGGGCAACCTGGTAGTATTCCGCCCATATGAAAATCATGGAACGTTATTCTTTATCATAAAGATTAGTGTACCATGATTGTTTGGCACACAGTCTGGATTCGGACGCGTGTGAATATATATATATATATATCAATATATATATATATATCAATATATATATATATATATAAAGAAACGATGACTGGAAAAGTAAACTCGGGGAGATATCGGTGAAAAACATGGTCGATAAGTGAACGAAGCTTCTAAAGGGCGCATCATAGTCATCATCATCATCATCATTTTACAATCAAATCCGGAGGAAACACTTCGTTGACGGCTGACAAGCTTATATATATATATATAATAAATAGTATGTGAATGACTGAACAAAATTGCCCTGGAAGCACACGACCGGTTTTGCGGTTCTGGCCGCTCGTCAGACATGTATATCTGGTAGTCTTTTGTCAGTTCCTTCACATACTCGTACCCAGGAAGTGTATTTTCATCACAATAAACTTGTTTGCAACACCAAGTGACTTTTGGATGGACAGCTGTTTTAGAACCAGTCCATTGGAGAATCAATGGTATGATTCCATATATATGCATACGAAAAAAGAGGGGAGGGTCATGATACAAAGCAGTAAAAAAGGGGGTTAGGTAGTTAAGTTGAATGACGAGAAGAACAACACACTCAACTGCTTAGTGATCGAGGTATGGCATGTGCGTTGCGCCGTCCAAAATACAAAGCGGTTGTTTAAAGACTGGCAGAAGCCTGTGACTGGAAGGGGTCAAACATCCAAGATGCCCAATACACCTCGACGCCCAGCTGAGCCGGTGACCACTGCCACAACCAGATCGGTGTGTGTGTCCGAATACTTCTGTTTTGTTCTACGAATTTTGGTTACGCGTCATGAGCATCTCATTGGACAATCTATTTATACGCTTCGATTACAAGCATACAAGCTGTGGACCGTGCTTCTCAATGGATTCAATTTGTTACCGCCAAAGTAGGCAGCTTAAAGAGAGTCACCAAAATCACCACACGATAGTGCATGTACCATTCATGGTTGTGAAAACGGAAAGCATGCAAAACTTAATCAGCTTAAATCCGGACGATGTTTAGTGTCTGCCAATAGATGTGTGTCTTTTTTTAGTCAGCGATCACAATATAAAAAGCAGCAAGTTCCAAAAACGTACCTCGAATATTTCGCGCGAATGATGTGACCGGGTTCGGATTAGAGTGGACAGACGCATGGGGCGGAGTGGCCGCTAACAATCCAACATTGATCGATCTGGGATCTCCGTTCAGATCTGAGGATGCTCGTTGATGCTGATGCGAGACTGTTGTAGGATAAAGGGGCACCGGGCTAAGGGAGTTGATCAGGCGTTGTGGATCCATGGGTATGATGGCGGAACGAGTATCCGATGTGGACCGAGTGACAGTACCATTGTGTACATCGGGAGCACCACGTTGACGGGGATTGGTGCTTGTTGTCGATGTTCCATGCAGATCGTTTGGATGTGCGGTAGTTTGTTGTTGCGGTGCTGGTGGTGGTTGTTGCTGATGTTGTTGTTGGCTTTGCATATGCATGAGGCGGCGTGCACTCGGTCCGGGAATGGCAGTCGTTCCACCGGCGGGGCCAGAACCAGCCGCACCAGTACGAGGTGTGTCGTCCGTGTGGTGCACAGTATTCAGTGTTCGCGAAGCCACGGCAGAACCGCCCGTGTCGGAACGATCGCTAAGAATAGATCGTAGCTCAGACGGAGCATAGCCACTGGAAATACCGTAAATCGAGGGATCGACAACTTCGCCACTCGGGCCCATGTGAGCAGTTGGACCGCCCAGCAACGAAGATGAACTGGACATGGCATAGATGTTCATTGTGGAGAAGCTCCGTACGGGAGCTCCCGAACCGCCTACCTCCTGCAATCGAGGAATGCGACAATTTCACGTGGTAATGAATTCATTGNCGGACTGGATTGAATTCAACTACCGTGAAGTGGAATAAATCAGGAAGAAGAAATTGATTTTTGAATAGGACAAAGAAAATGAGATTATCCTGTCAGCAAATTGAAAAGACTGGTCCTTTGATACCATTGATTGTGTTGATGAGGCATATTTCGGATGAGATAATTCACACTCATCCACGCGCTCACCGACAATAGGACACGACAAAATCAGCAAGGCTCACGCTTCAAACGTCAGTCACTAATCTATGGAAACGTGAATTTGAAGAAAATAATTGCAACCATCTTATTTGGACAGAAATCTCAGTATCACATCTTGTTGTCAGAAAAACAACAACAACAACAACAACAAAGAAACCGTTTACGATTTGCATGTGAAAAATGTAGTTTGTTTCATGTTTGTCAACACTCAATCAGGTACCTCTTAGTGTAACAATCGGTGCTAGAAGGTGAATCTGATTGCTAAAGAACAGCAAATGCGGGGTAATACATGGGACTGAAAAAACCGAGCCGTATGAGGCAATATAAAAATCGATGTGGCATGGGGCCCCAGAAGATAGGCAAGCTATCCATCATCCGTTTTAGTGGGGGGAATGGAATGAATGGTTCGAACCTCGGACCGACTAAACACCAATGAATTTGACCTTGATATAACCAATACAAATTTTTGATTAAATGACATGTATTTTTATCAACGATTCGCGGACAAGCATGATGCCAACACCATAACAGTAATAAC